GGGCTGTTTTATAGTCACTTCAAACTTGCACTTAATTACACTATAATTGAATGGGCTACAAAACTGCATATCAGAAATTTCTCTAAAAATATTATTAACTTATTCACTGCAGGTCATTAGGATGGCACACTCCTATGTTGACCTTTTTTAAGAACTGTTTCCAGCTCTCGAGAAAAACGAAAAAATCATATAAAATGCTGCCCAAGAAATGGAAAATAAACTTTCTTTTAAGTTTTAGTTTGTAAAAAATTATAAAATTGCATTTACCCGTAGAATATGCTATATCGTCACTAGACACGAATAAAGGCGCGAGCTCAAAAGATGACGGCGAAAAAAGACGCATAAAAAATTTCAGCGTCAAATACTCTTAACATACTTCGCCAAAGTTTTTTATAAGCATCTTTTTTCGCAAAATTTTTTTAAACGCTTTTTTTCACCGTCGAAACACCTTTATTCGCCAAAACGCCTTTATTCGTATGTAGTGACGATATTTTTACAAAAAATTTATATTAAATATACAAACGGAAAACTGTAAATACTAAGAATTGAAAGGGTGTGCAATTCAAATGACGCGGAGTGTATATGAGCAGATGTGATCACTACCACAAGTAAACGCGAGCTGAAAGCGTGATTGTGTTAGTGGGCCAATTACGTTTGAATGAATTTGCGTTCGCTTTGTTACGCTCTCGCATGTATTTGCATGTGATGCTTACGCTCTTTAAGCAGGCGCTCACTCTCTGTCCATGCTTGTATATGAGCAAATTTGACATCGATATAACTGTTGCCAACTTGGTGCCTTTCTCAAGAAATTAAGTGCGTTTAGGGAATTAAAAGGCGAAAATTGTTTAGTTTAGCGCTTGTTTTGTTCTTTGGTATCCTTTTCAAGGCAATTTTATAATAAAAACGTGATTCTATGGTGACATTGTATTTGACTTACACATATGTTAGTGTTTGGCCGAGCTTCTCCTCTGGATAATATGCTCCAAGATAATCCAAACGCAATATTTTCACACAGTCTCTATCATATATATATGCTAATTAGCTGGGTGTGCGCATTTGTACAATTGCATGAAAATAAAGCCTCTAGAAAAACCAAGTTTTGGAAATTGTTTTACGAATAAAAAAACATTTTGCAAATTAAATTTATTAAATTCATTAACTGCGCATAGTTGGAAATATTTACAAGTTTCATTGCGTGATTACTTAAAATATTGGAACATACAGCTTTATATGCGAAAATACCATTAAACACAGCAACACAAAATTGGTGTTTTTTTTTGGGGAAAAGTGCGCTATTTTCAGTATTTTGGTGCTTTTTTAAATAAAAAACTTGGCGATCAGGGCTGCCAACTTGGCACAAACCGTGCCATTTTTGGCACTATTTTACTTGAAATGGCACTGAATTTTTCAATTTTGCAAAAGTGCCAAAATGGCACTTGAAAAAAACCCAAATTTAAATACATTTTTGTGAAATCCTTTGCGTGTACTTCTTTTCCTCAACTAAAATTTTCTAATTTCTATAGTGTATACAACTGGTTTTTTTTTTTTGTCTTAATTTGTTTTAATTTGTCTAATTTTAATGCTAATGGGAAGAACTAAAGAGAATGACACCTTTTTTGGCACTTTTAATTTTCTATTTGGCACGTTTTAGCACTTTTTTATCCTCAATATGGCTCTTCATAGCTATGTATGTTTGGCAGCCCTGTTGGCAAATTTGATCACTAGCTGACCTTCACCGAGCGCTTTTTGCTGGGTTCGGACTACAAAAATGGAAGTAAATATCAAGTATTCGTAGTAGATGTGCGACCAGCTAGTGGTTGAGACGTAATTTACACGGGTCGATTTTGGTTGAACGACAAAAATCTACTAGAAAATCGACCCGTGTTAGCATTAAAGTTAAAATGCCTTGGTTAAAATTAATAAAAAGTTATTTCATTCTTTCTTTACCGGGACAATTGTTACATCGGTGGGCAACGACGCAATTACAGAACTTTAGACAGAGCAATATTTTTCGATCGGGTTCATAGCGGACGATTGTGAGGGCCTATTCACGGATTCAAGTGTATTTGCAAAGTTGCTGTACCTCACCAATGTAACAATCGTGTCGATAAAAAGGTAAAATTTAACTTTTAGTTTGCTATTAAAAATCCCACCTCCTTTCTATTTGAAGAGTAAATTTGTTGATGCAACAAAACGGAGCAGATTTTCAGTTGAGCGAAGTAGAGGACTAGGTTTCAAATTTTTTCGACAAAACGGAACAAATCTACTCCTATCGGAGCGAAGTCCGAACGATGGCTTATTGTGTATATGAGTAAAATGCATGATTCAATAATACAAGGTTCGATAAACTGACAGTTGTCTCTCTCGCACCGCTCCCTTAGCAGTGGCACCGTGTTGCTTCTTTGCAAATTTACATGGAAACAGTGTAGCTTTGGTGTGAAATAAAAGTATAAGCTTTTGTGCAATATGTTTATTTGTATATGCATATGAAGCATATTTAACTGATGAAAACCTAAGCATTGGATGTTTACATCAATCTCATAGTAGTCTTATTTTAATTTTGAGTCATTTTTCAGTTTTTATACGGCTAAATAGCATATAAATTACGTAATTCACGTAGATATATCAATATTACGTTCAACATTTCGTTTTAAATGTCAGATTTCCTGCAAATACATTAGAATTTACAAAAGTAATTTCACTACTAATTGCCTACTTTGCGTACTTTTCTACTACCATTTTCGAAACAAGGGATTGCATTCTTGCCCTTTCTCTGTTCTTCGTAAATGCAACCTTTTGTAAGGGAGTATCAAACCGCAGCTGTCAATAATTATCTAACCTTGTATTAATGAATCATGTGTATGCTCTTTCTTTGGTACACAAAGTCAGTATTACGCAATAGGGATGGGTAGTGGGGGTTGAAATTCGATTTTTTCCGAATTTCGAACATTGCCCAACCATTCGATTATTCGATTCGAAATTGGGTGGTGCAAATTCGATTTAATTCGAATTTTTTCGAATTTTCAACAATTTTTTCCACTGCAATTTTAAAAGTTTGTTTGAGAGCATGATACCTCAAATCGAAAGGGATTCAATTGAACTTACATTAATGTGATTAATTATCCGTACTGCCGGTTTCACTAAAGCAATTTAAGTGAAAAATTATTATCTTTTCTGTCGGTTCCCATATTAAATTTAAATGAAAAAATCATTTTTCACTTAAATTGCTTTTTGAAACTGGCTTTTGCCTTCACAACAAAAAAAAAATAAATATCTTTTTCTCAAATAACATAAATATCTCAAAAATGCATCAGATAAAAATTTAAATATTTATCAAATATATCATGTATTTTTTATATCAATTAAAAGAAATAACAAATGTAGATGTATAGAAACTAAGTTCTTGCTTTACAAATACAAAGGAAATTCCCATATTTACATAGTTTATTATATTACATAGTTCTGTTATGTTTATACTTATACAACGAATAAAAACCTCTTACATTTAATGACAATGTATGATTTTGCTTTTTAAGGCGAGATCTTTAAGTAAACAAGGAACAAAATAATAGGTCTGTTCAGCAGTGACCATAAGATCATGTGCACATGGTATTGCATTTGCATATTTCGGCGCATTTGTAAATTCACAACGGTTACCATGGTGGCAAGTATATAATTTGCAAATGCAAATACAAAGCCAAGACCATTTTTACAATATCCCGAACAGTCCTATTATAGATTACACAGGTACATCATATGTATACATATATATAGCATTTATGTACTTTAATTTAGTAATTCTAAAATCACATTTTTTATTATATTTTTTATATACCCTTGAGGTCAGCTGTTTAAAATGTGGTAAGTGTTTGAAATGTGGGTTTATATGGTGCTGGTTATGTAATGTGCTAGACTTTTATAGAACAATTATAAACGTTTAACAACCAAAAGAAAAATAGCCAAAACTGGTCAAAATGTCATTTAACTTAAACAGCTGACCACAAGGTTGTATACATAGATAATTACATATTAAATTCGTGTTTCACACATTTCGCAAACATTATATTTTCAACCGTTTGCACAAGATTAAATAAAAAAAATATACGCTTCATTTAAATCATTTTTCCTTAAAATAATGTATCAATATTTATACTGAGAAAAATAAGAATACATATCCAAAATTCGTTAAAGTTTCCATCACTTTTGAAGAATTTTTATCGAAATAGAACACTGGAAATAACTAAGTTGTACCACTTACATAGTTCTAAAAAATCAACAATTGAATGAAAAAAAAATTTTGGATCTACAGTGACCATAAAAATTAGAGCACTTTAATATTTGGAGATGTTTGACTTCATTTTCTTTTGTTGGTTCAATGTTCATAAATTGTTTATAAAAAATATATGTAGTTCATTCCTCAACAAATATCATATATGCAAAAAAAATTTCAAACTTTTTCAATTTGTAGCTACTTCAAACTTGCATTTTATAATACCAAAATTGAAACTGCCAACCCAACTTTTTTTTTTAATTTGGAAATTTTGTTGAATTTTACATATATAATATTTTAAAATTAAGTCAAAACATGTCCAAATATTAAAGTGCTATTATTTTTACGGCCACTGTAAGAGTGGTTGTACAGACCAAGACCAAGTCTTGCGCTAATAGCCTCATATGTCCCACATTTCTTCCTCAATTGACCGCAAAAATACTAACATATTTAAATGTTCGGGTGAGAGACGGTTCCTCAACTGGGTTGCTATAAGTCCAGCATGTGAAAATAGTCGCTCACATAGGACTGACGTTGCCATAACTGACAAATGTTTTTGGGCAATTGGAAAAAGCAAAGGAAAATCATTTTTCAACGCCTGCCAAGTTGTTAAAGGGTTTTTGTTTAATTTTCGAGAAACAGCTGGCCTGATTAAATAAGCTCGCAGCTGGTCCGAATTTATTTCCGAAACGTTACTTCTATTGCATTGACTGTTGCTAATGTTTTGATCTAAATATGACCATATGCCTCCTTCGTCCGATGTTTGAAGCTCAGCGATACTTTCCACAGATTCATTACTTTGGGTTTGGCTGGTTATTAATAAGTTACCTATTCAAAGTTTAAAAAACAGAAATAGTTGTTTATGATAAATAGGTATTTGTCTAATGTACCAATAAAAGCAGCAGCCCGCGAACAGTAGATTGAGTTTTCGAAGGCAGCCTTCTTGTACCTTGGATCAAGTATTGTTGCCACACCGTAAATAACCACCGCCTCCAAATTTGCGTAACGTTTTTGGACCTCGGTCAACAGGACGTCTTTTGCTATTTTGCCTATTGCTGTAGTCGGTTAGATGATCATTGTTGCCTGTAAAATATAGATTTAGATTTATTTACAGCCAAATTCATTATTAATCATTTTGTTCATCTATTGGTTAATGTCTACAACGTCTACTACGTCATCTTAAAAGTACAAAATGACTCTAGAAACAATTTACTAATTATTTCTTTAACCTTTTTTAATCCTGCAACCAATGGAATGCACTTGCTTATGTTTACATTTTTTTCACCGCAGAGTTCACTTGTAATTTCATGCAAAGGCTTAAGAATATCCGTTACTTCTTTAAGAGCGTCCACTTCTTCAGCAGTGACCATATTAGGCGTGCGGGCCCTCGTGTTCTTATCCATTTGTAGCTGAAGAATTACTTGTGCAATACATGTAGACAATGTCATAAAACGTTCCAGCATTTCAAAACAAGAGTTCCACCTTGTTCTCACTTCTTGAATCAGCTTTAAGTTTGACTGACCGTTGCTTTTTTGGTAATCTCTCAACTTTTTCGCAGCCACCTCGCTCGTTCGAAAAAACTTTACTATTTTCTTTACCTTTTTTAAAAGATCCTTTAGCGTGCCTCATTCCGTTTCGTTTTCATCATCGTCGATAGCATCGTCATTGTTATTTTGAATGATCGCTTGACCAATATTATTGATAGTGTGACCAAAACAGGTTACGTGCTTCGACTCTCCAAATTCTTGTTTCACTGCGCCTTTGATATTGGCTCCTCCGTCAGTGACAAATGCTATTATCTGATCATCGCTGATGCCCCAGTTATTAACTATTTCACGAAGTTTTTCCTTAAGGTTTGCTATGTCTTTTTTAAAATCAGCTGGAAAAGCCCCAAGCTCCACACAAACCATATCGTTTTCTGTTAAAATTTATAAAAAAAAACAATGAAGCGTATTCTTGTTTTCGTACGAATCGAAAATCTTGAAATTTTCCTATCATTTACTATACGAGCTCTTAACAAGTAAAAAGGTAAAAGTGGAATTTTCAATAACGTGGATATGTTTGGAAGCATATTTGACATACCTTTCATCTGATATGTATATCATATACATAATACATACATACTTCGAGAAAAACTAAAAAGACCAAATTATGACCATTTTTTAATAAAAATGTATGTTTTTCTAAAAAATACGTAATTAACTGTAATAAAAGATATCTTTATCAGAAAGAGTATAAAAATACCTTTAATTTGATATATA